TCATTTCACCGCTCCCCTACCTTGTGCGTATCTCCACTCCATACTGGGTCTGCGAGTGTTCAATTGCTGGCTAACCCAGATTTCGGAGGTTTCCAGAAATCTTGACCTACACCAAAAGTGGGCTTTGCCCTACCTATAGGAGAAGTTTGGTTTCATTGGTGTGTATATTTGTTTGGTTATAGAGAAAACTCTCCTTGTCTTTTAAAGAAACCGAACAAGGGGCAAAAACTTTACCTTCGATTTTCTCAAAACAGCATTTTTAGTGATAGCCCCTTTGAGCTTAAACGCCACCAATTCATTCCTACATTAATTGTAGATGATATCTGAACCCCACACGAGAGTGTGCGAGTGTTCAATTCACAATCAACCCCCACATTGAATATAACTTATTATGTCTCCACTCCATACGAGAGTCTGCGAGTGTTCAATTCCAGTGGCGGTGGGTGGACCAAAATTTGGGTGGGGCTTAGGTTGCTTCCACTTCTTTATAAACCAAATAGCAAGCAAGAAGACTTAAACAGTACTGATTTCTCTTCAGAGAGCCAAGGCATTTTGAGAACCATTCAAACGAGAAGGTTCACCTTTGTCTTCCGTCTCTTTGTTCTTGGGGATGAAGAAATCGTCTTAAAGTTAAAGTATATCTCCAGCCCACAAGAGCATGTGCGAGGATTCGATTGGCAGCCCTCCAGGGTCGGGGTGGAACATGCTATCAGCGACATGTCAGGGGCGGGACCTCTGTCTCTCCACACCGCCATCCCAGGGCTTCCCTCCTTTTCTTACAAGGGTGGAAAAATAGTTGTGAAGCAGCGTGGTGAAATCAGGCGTTCGTTAAAATAACGAAATTGGAGAAACGGGCATTTTCCCACCAGTTTGTAATTTTTTTAATCAAATTTTTATTTTTAGGCGTAACTTCTTTTCGGTCAATATAAAAACACATTTTCATGTATGCGAATTTTACTAAAACACCTTGATTAAAAGCACAAATTATGTCCTTTTTCAGGTTTCAAAAATTCTTTAGCTATTAGAGTTACCAAACTTTGGTTGCCATTTTCTCGCTAATTTCACCCCTGAAACCAGGCACCTCACTTCCATCAACTGCAAATATCTTGAATCCTGTTCAAGATAAATGGATACTTATTTCATTGGAAGCAAAGAAAATACATCAGCTTTTAGAGTATACAAATAACTCCACATGCCCAAAAATTGAAGAGCGCATATGATTCCACCGCGTCTTGGCACATTTTCTTTTTCTTAAACAACATTCCTTTGTTTAATGTTCAGCCTGCGGGTTCCCTGAAATATAGGGATGTGTAAGTTTGAGATAAGAATTTTTGTGTGGGGTAGGGATGAAGGAGGTCGTGTGTGTATGTGTGTGTGTGTGTGTGTGTGTGTGTGTGTGTGTGTGTGTGTGTGTGTGTGTGTGTGTGTGTGTGTGTGTGTGTTAGCGAGCACGTTATTGTTCTGAAGTTATTCAGATCATGCAGAAACGAAACAACTTAGAATTACATGTATTTTATAAATTTATGAAGAGAATTAATCCACGAAATAATCGCGCACTTTTTACCTACAAAGTTGTTTCCCTTACTTTACACCTCTCTTCCTCAAGCTAAAGAGGTTATCGACATAACCTCTTTGCCTCACGCTTAAACGACTGGCAGGGTCAAATAAAAAACAAAAGTTGTTTCCGCATCCCATCCGGACATTGGGGATTGCCTTGTTAGTGAGACAACTTCCTGGGCCTTCGGCATATTGTGGTATGGTGGCCAGTTCCTTTCCATGCCGCCTTTACATCCCCAACACGAAGTCAGGTACCCATTACTGCTGGGTGGGCAGGAAGGGGGAGGGAAATCTGTGTCCGAAACGAGGCTCGAATCCGGACTTTCCGCTTCGGAGACGAGCACACTAACCGCTCCGCCATCGCATCCTTCAGTGTCGAATACCGCCTCCTAAATTGTCTAAAGTGTGTTAATCACCCACATATTATTATAACTATTTTTCAAACTGACCTTAAAGTGCCTTTCATTCTCCTCCTCCCCACTCCTCCCCCCCTCCTCTCCTCCCCTCCTCCCCATCCTCCTCCCCTCCTCCACTCC